CTCTTTGTACGGTGTCCTTGAGTGCCAGAAAGGCGCCTTTGAAATAAAATGTATTATTATTATTATTATTACTTGAGTAAAAGTATTGATACTCATGGTCAAATCTATGCAACTACAAGTAAAAGTTACTCAGTCAAAAATCTACTAAAGTTAAAGTACTGATGTACTTACTTTTGAAAATACTTACGTATTCAAAAGTACATGCATTTTAAAATACTCAAGTACTCAAAAGTACAAAATGAATTTTCTAATATCAGTACATTGCTGTATTGTTTTCAGAGTGATTTTACAGAACCTTGTTACTCTCAGAACCACCTGATGTATCAACACGTAGAACCACTCTGCTTCAAATTCACCACCTGTAAAGACTTCAGCATAAAAGTACAATAAAGTGTGCAGAAATGTTGTTTATCCATAGTAAACATTTAAACTGATACAAACTATTTTTCAGTCCTAAAATCTCAAACATCAAGCTGACATATCAATCAATCAATCAATGAACTTTACTTGTACCCACAGGTAAATTTGATTACAGTGAATATGGCCATCAAGCTGGTTTCTTGGGCTTCTTCAACTGTCTCCATTGTTGGGTTCTGTTTGAAATGAAGGTGGAGCTCAGCTCATGACAKTTAATGAAGATGATATAATTCCAAATCTATCCCAGGTGTGAGCTACGACTCTGATTGGTTCCCCTTGTGAAGAACATAGCATGTGACCAATTGCATTCAAGAAAGGAAACCAGAAACAGATGATTACAAAATGATGCTGAGCAAAAAGTTACAAGTAACAAGTAACTAATAAGCTTCCTATAAATGTAGTGCAGTGAAAGTCATAAGTACCCCAAAAATAATTACTCGAGTAAAGATACTCAAAAAATGTACTTAAGTACAGTACTCAAGTAGATGTACTCCATTACTGTCCACCACTGAATATAAATATTTGTCTGAAAATATGACTGAAGATTACTTTTATTTGTTGTAGTTTAAATTTAATAAAAATGTTTTACAGTGATTCTGATAGAAACATAGTTCACATGATGTAAAAACTAAAGGGTGTGGCTCTGACCTAGATACTTAGATTTCTGAAATGATCATCATTTCAAAGGAGTATTCCTGCTCTGACTCGCTGCCTGAATGTTGTCAGAAGGAGGTGGGGTTTGTGTATGTGTGTATAGGTACAGTATTAATGCCTATTGCTTCTTTTTGCTGAGATCCAAATTTTTGGATTTCATTTACACCATACTGTAAATGCAACCTCAAAATCTGATTTGAGCCAGTTTTGTTTGCCATTTGAACGTAGCCTAAGCTAAGTCTTGAATCAATAGCATTAAAGTCCGGGTTAAATGCAGTCTCGTGATTTTATCATGCTGAATCTATAGACATAAAAATTACATCCAAGTTACATGACTCAAGTTCAAGTCATGTGACTCAAGACCACACCTCTGCATTTAGGCTTTGAAAAAGTGTTTRTGTGTTTGTGAACTCACAGTCTTCCGCTCAGCCTTCAACTCCTGAGTGTATCGCGTCAGCTCACAGACGATTTGTGAGCTCAGGTTTTCAGCTAGATCTTCCTTTTGAGCTGCYAGTTCATTCAACTGCTGCAGAGTCGTTGCAAATGCCAAACACCAGGTGTACCTGAAGCAACCAAGTATCAGAGGTCAGATCCAGTCAAAACCTTCCATTGTTACCTCTGCCAAGAAGGTTCTGTTTTCAGAAGCACTGGTTGGTTTGTCTGTCTGTCCGTCCGTCTGTGCACAAAATTACTCAAAGGTTACGAAAAGATTTTCATGAAATTTTCAGTGCATGTTGAATTTCTCACAAAGAACAAATATTTGAATTTCTGTGGTGATCTGGCAACATGTGGCAGAGCTGCAGCTTGTTGTGATCTGGCACGAACAGAACTGAAACTTGAAGGGGCTATATCATGTAAAATCAACTTTTTCAGCTTTATTTCATGTTCTAATGKCATCCTCTCATCAAAAACATGCCCAGAGTCTTGCTTTGACTCATTCATCATGTTTGAGAAATCCTGTAGTGTCCTGAGGCAGCCAGGCAGGGGAGCAAAAACCACTAGGGACTAGAACAGGGGTGGGCAATCATGGTCCTGGAGGGCCGCAGCCCTAAATGTTTTACATTTTCCCTTCCTGGGTCTTTAATTTAATTGGTGTATTTTAAGTGTATTTATTTATTGGTTCATATAATTCTGCTTTTATTTCTAATTATGTCAGTTTTGGTCCTCCGTACAGCAGAAGCCTGATAATCATCTATTCATTCATTCCAGGTGTGTCGGAGCAGAGAAACAAGTAAAACATGCAGGACTGCGGACCCCCAGGACTACAATTGCCCATGCCTGGACTAGAACCTCCTTTTGGGACCAGCTCCTTCTCTGAGCTGTCTCCAAGCTGAGCTTCCTCATCACAGAGAACACCTCCCCACCTCACCCATTTCACGACTCCTGCAGGTGATTGGCAGCAACAACTAGCAAACACCTGGTGAAAAACGTGTCTGCTGAGCTCCTAACACTTCTCAGTCCAGCYYTTTTCAGATTAAAAACACCTTGGAGGAAATGTATTTTCAGATGCCACGGAAAGTATGCAGAGCTTCCACATCACAGCGTGTTTTTGTTGTTTATTTATTTTTCCACAAAGACAGATATTCTTTATTATTAGTCAAGGTCAATTAGTCATTTATGTGGGCATGTTTAATTTACCTGAGGACAAAAAGCTGAAAGAAGCAAAATTTCAAGACAAACTCTGGTTATAGAAGAAGATTCCTTTTTAACATTAACAAACTGGAATCTGTTAGATAAATATGATTTAAAGCATTTTAAAGCTGTTCCTGTAATAAAATCCTGTGATCGGTTGTATCAAATGCAGCACTGAGATCTAACAGGGCTGGTAGAAACAAGCAATGATAAATATTATTGATGATATTCTTGTGGCCTCAGAAAGTGGACTTGGAGAACAAGAAAATATCTWTTGGCATATTTTTACCATTGAGATTTCAGTTTGATTGAGCAGATATTTGGTAAAATGCATTAGAATCAGACCATGTAATATAATATGTCAACAGTCCTAAAATGCAGCATTTCTGTAATATTCAAATGCATGCACCAATTAGAAAAAATATCAAATAAATAATTTTCTTGACTGACCTACTCTCTTCTTCTCTGCCTCTTTTAGGGTGGTACTTTTTAGACAAGCTCCTGTAGAAAAAAGTAAAGACAGAGACAGGTTTTCATGAGTGAAGCCTCACAGGTCTTAATGAGATGACCTGCATAAATAAAAGTAAAAACATGAGAACTGTGGGAGAATTATGCTTGTGCACAGAACAAGGTGGTTAGTGGTCCAAACCAAACACAGTTACAAGTAGATACAAGCACCAAAAGTGTTGTGAAGGCCTTTTAGCTGTTTATTAATACACCCAAGCCAGGGGTGGAAATTAGCACCTATCACTGGCCAAATGCAGGTAAAATTATGAAGATCTGAACAACGCGCCCGCCACCATGGCGAGTGGGAAATGAACTAAAAAAATAAAAAATAAATTGCACTATTGACCTTTTTCAAAAACTCTGTTTCATTTTTATTTTTATTTCATGAATTGTCTAAATGCCACCGTGTTACAGAAACAAAAAAATAGTGGCTGGTAAAACGTTTGAGTGGTCGGTGTGAAACTTTTTCTACCAGCCACTGTGACTGGTGGGGAAAATTTTTAATTTCCACCCCTGACCCAAGCACTGAAGGGTTAAATATGTGGAAGCTTTTTTCTGCCACTCTGATGAAAAATAAAAATTTATCTATTATGAGAAACCTTAGTCTTAATTATGAGATAGTATCTAAATATTATAACTAAGCTATCTAATAGTTATAAAATACAGAATTTTTTGATTCATTTTCATCAGTGTTGTGGAAATAAAACACAAATGTTTATTATTCGACCCAAGCACTAAAGGCAGTATAAAGGCTTTTATGAGGACAATATCTTCTTATTGGACAAGAATAAAATGGGAAAGAACAGAATAATCTTCCATTTGTCCCTTAGTGGAGAAAATCCAGTTCATCAGCATGAAACTGTTGGGCAAACAGAAGATCACAGGTTACACATTAAAATTATAAATAACAACAATRAAATTAAAACATGTAAAATGAAAAACTGTAATTGTGACACAGGTTACTGAGTAAACTGTACAGTTAATGAAATGTTAATTATAGCTATAATAATTATTTGTATGCAAAATATATAATGNGGTTACTGAGTAAACTGTACAGTTAATGAAATGTTAATTATAGCTATAATAATTATTTGTATGCAAAATATATAATGACATTAATATAAAAGCTCTAAAGTTGGTGCAAAGGCCTAATAAAATTTAAGTGTCTATTATCGAAGCACAGTACCAAAGGTAGTGAGAATATTAAAAATGTAGTAAAATTCTGCTGCACCTTCAGCTGYATCTGAGGCATGGGAGCCTTTAAGAAACCAAATAAACTCTGCCTAAAACACACAGAAAACTGACCACTTTGAACTGAAGAAACTGGTGAAATTTACAAAAACTTTAACAAACTCCTCATACAAATTTAAAGTTACAAAATTGTAAATTATTCTGTATACACCCAATAAATCTGTAAATAAACATTCTTAACAGCTTGAGCTCAGGATTTAATGTTTTACCACAAAACAAGAAGTTCTGAAGTCTAATAAGAGTTTCCTATTAAACACCTGCATAAACTTAAATAACTCTGGAGCTGCTGCAGTTTGAGGTGAGTGCTGTACTCTGGAGACTCCAGCTTCAAGGGAGTCTGCCAGAAAGCCACTGACAAATCTTTCATGTGAGTTTTCTGTCTGTGAAGAAGGATGCAACCAAAAGAAAAAAAAAAACTTCATGCACATATTGCACTGTTCTCACCAATTCTTTATTTTAACAACTTGGAAGTGACTTTAAATCCCAAACATGTCCGATCGGACAAAATGTTGGCCTGAATACCTCTGCATTGATAGTAAAAGCTCCCTTATTATGAACCAACTGGATGCAAACACACTCCTGGTGAACACAGCTGTAAGCAGGTGTGGAGTCACAACACTGAAGTACCCATGTGAAAACAAATGGTGTTACTCTTGACCACAAYGTTGAAGAACTTCTACTTAAACATTTTTACACAGTCCGCTTTCTTCTACCTGCGTGATATCTCTAAAATTAGAAAGATCGTGTCCAAAAATGATGCAGGAAAATTTATGGAAAGTATAAACCGTTATTTTAACAGGTACAGTAAGTCAGTTAAGAACCAGTTCTCATTTAAAACAAAACAAAACAAAACAGAAAAGATTTCAACTTTATTGTCATTGCACATCTTAAGTACAAAGCAACGAAATGCAATCTGCAACCATCTAAAAGTGCTTAGCAAAAGTGTGTGTGTGTGTGTGTGTGTGTGTG